AAAACGATCCCTCATTAATCTGTATTTGAAAGATACATAATAAAGATTATAGCTGAATAAAGAGAAATACATATGAATAATATAGTTGAATACAACAAAATACACCTTAAGTCATCTGAATAAAACACTTGAATACAACAAAAATACAACTGAATACAGCTGAATAAACTCTTGAATGCAACAAAATACAACTAACTTCTGCTGAATAAAATAGTTGAATATAACTGAATACAACTGAATACTGTTGTATAAAACACTTGAATACAACTAACTATTGCTGAATAAAATAGTTAAATACAATTGATTAAACCTGAATACAAGTGAATACAGCTGAAGAATACATTCGAATACAACTGAATACAAATAGGCGATTTGGGCGATCTAGAGAGAGAAACAGCCCTATGGCTTCGCCGGCCGGCGGCCAGCCATTAATTCCGGCTGGTCAGCCCCTAACACATATACAAAAACCCCAGCCTTGGAAGTTCTGGTGCAAGAAATCGCAGCCGCTGCTACCCACAACGGCTCCTAGTAAACTTTGCTCTCTTCTCTCTCTGCTTCTTCTTCATCTTCTGTCTTCCCCACTTCTAGCTTTTCTGGATCTTGTAACCCACCCGCCAATCTCTCCAAAACTCATAAACATTTTCATATAATCTTTTGATCCCTGTGTTTCATCAACACATTTCATCCAAATTTACTCTTTTATACCCGTTTTGTTCCATTGATACATGAACACTCCTCCAATTGGGTCGTCGGACCTCCTAATTGCCTCCAACGGCCCAGGAGGTTTCTCCACCGTGGATGCAATCTGTGAAGTACGCGAGTGTGGTTGCTCATATTCCGGCTCAGACAATGGCTGATGATAATGTTGGTGACGCGGAGCAAAAAATTGAGAATTTGGGTGGGAGAAGAGTTAAGAAACTAGGGTTTGTGGGAGAACAGAGTCTGGTTGTATGCAAACAGAGAGAGATTGTATTGGGGTTTGCAGATACGCGGTAATTATGTGAGAGAAAATACAAAAAGGGAGAGAGAAAAAAAATATTTAGCATATATGGTGTCTTAATTGTAGGATGTAACTATATTTAGATTTTTTGCTATAAAGGATAAAAGGTATTTATAGGATGTAATATTTTAAAATGGTATTTATTATTGATAAATAGGGTACTAAGGTTTTCTATAGGGTGTAAAAATTTCAAAAATAAAACCTATTCAAAATCAAACCAAAACGATAGTATTTTCTTTAATCTAATCCAAACGCCATAGCTACTACAAATAATATTAGCACGTTTTTTTTTTTAATGCTAAGTTTAAGCATTTGACTCTCTCCACAAAACCAATAACCTTTCTTTTGTAAAAGAGATACCAACTGGTTGACCTTAAATAATAGTAGTAATTGGTTTAATTGGTCAGCTTAAGGCTAAAGGTTCATGAATACACGTGTCAGTCCAATTTAGTTTGCCAACTTCGGAATTTAATTTAAATTATTCTTGCTGATGAACATATTCCCCAGTCAGTTTTACAAATTTGAGTATCTATAAATTATTAATTGAAGTAATATGTAATAAAATAAAAAATAAAAAAAAAACTATACCTTGAAATTGACATTAGTATTTAGTACTCACTGATAAAATATTCTAGTTAGACAGTTCATCATTATATGATAAAAGCTATAAAGAGCTAAAAATTACATTACCAAGCAGATGCAATTTTGTAATTAAATTTAATCATTCTCTGCTTTCGATAGTACTTCAATTTCGTCTGTCCACTACGTACTACTTTTATTACTTATTTATCTATTTATTTATTTATAATAAAACAAACATTTGGATAATATTGTCAAAGTTTGAGAACACCTAACATTCGGATAAATTAATACCAACTTAACTGTGAATCTTGACGACCTCTGTAGGCAGCCTACACCACAATATTTATTGTAGTAGTTTATAGACCCAATAATTCGTATTACAAAAATATTAAAATAAAATTATTATTGGATTCGTTCAGCCTGACAAAAGATCACAAAAAAGTTCATTGTCAAAAAGAATATATATAGTTAATGTAATCGAGACCAAGAATCCTAGTCCTTTTAATATTTTTGAACTCTTTTTATGTCAAGAAACTTTTTCAAAAAGAATAAAGAAATTATTTATCGGACCGGATGAATGAAATTAATTCTATAAAAAAAAATAGAAAATGTCTTACACGATACATCTTCAATTATATTGTATATAATAATATGTTCACTAGACACAACTAGGAAATCAGTATACTTGTCAAAAGCATGAATGATGACGACTTATTACCAATTACATCACATGTGTGCATTGAAAAGTAATTAACAACCTTCGCAAGTGGAAACCATATAATTTACAAAATTAATGCTAATCAAATGCAGAAAAGACCCCACTATGAAAGTGCATTTATAATTAATGTAGTCGATCATCATTAACCAAATCGTCCAATCAAGAGAAATATTTATGTAGTTTTTGTTGTTATATTTCCTCAAAAGCAAGCTTGAAGGTATTTGTCAATGATAATTAATTCTCTGAAAATTCAACAATAATATAAGGTTTTCGCTAATGGAACTTAATTATACATAATTATTCCCGCTTACGTACTCCAGGTCTAGCTCCCATTATGGCGCCCACAGAAACAATACACTTTTTAACATATATAGAAAATTAAAAAGAATGATCAAAGCTCAATATGTTAGTTCACATAAATTAATATACTATATGATTTACGAGATTAAATTTTAGAGAAATTTTCACAAACTATTATTATTTAGTGGTTATTAGTTAGTTGTAGCTATCATTTACTATATTACTTCCTATAGCTATGTTTTCAGGGTTTTTAGAGTGTATTCGATGTATTTAAGCTACTGTATTGATGAATGCAGTAGCAAAACTTGGCGTGAAATAGGAATTACAGCTAGACAGATTATTGTATTCGACTGTATTCACGATATGTATTTGTGAATACAGCGCAATTCATGGTCTATTCAGTTGTTTTTAAACGGAAAGTGAATCAATTAACATAATAGACTCCTAATATGACTCAACTAACTCAATTACATCACCCATAATCTGTTTCTGACGCGAATAATCTGAATATTTTTCCCAGATGATAAATAAATCACAACCGAGCAATCGCCAAGTTTCTAATCCTTCCCTTTTCTGTTGATATCGTTCGTGGGTGTTTCTGTTTTCAACCAAGATTCATCTATAGTGCAAAAACATATGAATACATAATGCAGATACATTTGAATACATATATACATCTGACTACATAAATTATATTAATTAAAAAAAACATATGAATACATTCATGGAATACAACGAGACAGTAAATACAATGAAATACATGGAATACAGCGAGATACATTGAAATACAATGACAAAAAAGACATTAATATAATGAAATACATGGAAATACAGCGAGACATATTGAAATACACTTTAAAAAAAAGGTAACAGAATCTTCAAGTTGATCAGCCCCAAACTTCAGACGAACTATTTTTCGCCGACGATTTTCCGACGACCCATCGGATTCCAACCATGATTCCATCAGCAGCGATGAGAGAAAGAAGAAAACGAGAAAGATCGCTGAAGAAGAAATTGCTAAGTTTTTCGCCGACGATTTTTCGACGACCCATTTGATTCCGACCATGATTCCATCAGCAGCGATGAGAGAAAGAAGAAGAAAACGAGAAATATCGCTGAAGAAGAAATTGCTAAGTTTTTGGCTAAGAAAGCCATGAAACTTGCCAAGAAGTTAAAGTCCCAGAAAATTCCTGTTGACTACTCGGAAGAATGATCGACGGAGTAACTGATGAGAGAATCCATGAGTTCGTATTCATGGAGAAAACTGGCGTTGAAAGAGAGGGTGGAGAAAAATCTGAAAGAATGAGAGAGAAAAATAATACAAAGCGTATTTTATGGCTTAAGGGTAGGAGGTGACCATAAATAGATATTTGGCTATAAAAATCAAAAGGTAGCTATGGAATATAATTTTTTAAAATGGTATTTATTTAAAATAAATAAGGTATCAACCCTTGCTATAGGAGGTAAAAATTCCTAAATTTTATGCCCCGACTATTTTATACAATCAAGTCATTTAAACAGTAATTACATATAATTCTATTTTAATAAGCATTGATTGCTAATATAACACACAATATACGGTAAGTAACCTGCTATAAACAATTAAATTATAACAACAACAACAATAACAACAACAACAACAACAAATCCAGTAGTTTCTCACAAGTGGGGTCCGGAGAGGGTAAGATGTACGCAGCCTTACCCCTATCCCTGGAAGGGCAGAGAGGTTGTTTCCAATAGGCCCTCGGCTAGAGAACGACTGGAAAAAAAAAAGTTAATTGCAACAAGTAGGAATAACAGTAAGATGAAATAAGATTGAATCCAAGAATGCAGTCAAACTCTAGGTAGTAATAGCCATCTATGAATAAACGATATCATACTAACACTAATGCTAGCGAATTGAGTAAGACAAAGAGAAACGCTCGACTACCTACGAACCTTCTACCCTATTCTTTGACCTCTACACCCTCCTGTCTAGGTCCATGTTCTCAGTCAGCTCCAGCTGCGCCATGTCCTGCCCAATAACCTCTCCCCAAGACTTCTTAGGCCTACCTCTACCCCTCCTACTGCCCACCGAAGCTAACCGCCCGCACCTTCTAACTGGGGCTTCTATACTTCTCCTCTTAATATGCCGAATCATCTCAACCTTGCCTCCCGCATTATTAATATAAAAAATGTTTGTATTATCGGTGTATATAATTTAAATCCGTTGTTTATTACTCAAGCGTTGGTTCATTGGTGGGGGACGTTGAATACAAAGAAGTCGTCACCATTTTGCAATATAATACAAACCATATTCTATCTCCTTCAAATTAACAAAGGATGGTTTTGTCTGCGTTGACAATTTCAAGTATTATTCGGGACTGAATCTATTTGGCCAGTGAACAACCTATATGGCCAAAATTTTATCCCTTTCTGAGGCATTATCTGTTTCCCCCATCCTTTTTATGGCCTTTGCTATCTTCATCATTAGTAACACTTCTCCAAATAACCTAAAGGTCAGCTATCTCTCAATAGACTTTTTCCCCTTAGTTTGAATTCTACAAAGGGATGAACAATCCAACTAGGATAAAGATGAGGTCTATGCTCAATTTATCTTATGATAGAGGTTGAAAGTTGAAACCAAAATAGAAATTTTTTCTTCTTCTGTTGTTAAATCCTTTTCTTAATTTGTTTGAAAGTGCAAAGAATATTTGTTAGTTGTTTGTTTGTTATATATAGAGGGAATGAATAGTGAAATGGGAAAGGGAAAAGAGAAGAAGTCCAACTCATCTATACTTCAAAAGTTGGAGAAATATCTATCAATGAATAAATTTAGTGGAGCCATTTTGTCCAAAAGCAAATCATGGCATGGCAGTACAACAAATATTAAGAGTAAAGTAGCTCCAGAGGGCTGTTTTTGGGTGTATGTTGGACCAGAGAAAGAGAGGTTTGTGATAAAGACAAAGTATGCAAACCATCCAATGTTCAAGATGTTGCTAGAAGATGCTGAAAAAGAGTATGGTTATAATTATAGTCAAGGCCCTATTTTGTTACCTTGTGATGTTGATCATTTCTACAAAGTGTTGGCTGAAATTGGCAGAAGCAAAGAGATTCAATCTTCAGGTTGTGGATCATGTAGTCCCTTATTTAGTCCTGGTAGGCGTTTGGGTAATAGCCAAATGGGCAAAGGTTATGGTTCTTATAGGGCTCTTACTCCTCCAAGGTTGGTCAAGCTCAACTCTTTTCATTAGCAGTACCCAAGGGTCTAGCCTATCGAGAAATGAAGTCGGTGAAAACTATAAGAAATCATAATTCAGGTTTAGATAAATATCAGTTGAGGTGCATGCAAGTTGACTCAAAATATATGTTAATAGCCATATTTGTTTAGAAGTCTCTTTTTCTTTGTTTTTAGGTTTTTCTTGGCATGTGGAGTTTGTAAACCGCACTTGTTTGTGAGATACACCTGTGGAGTCAATTATATCCACGGGTTAATAATCAGTTTAATTGTATGTAGTAGCTGAGGCCTAAGGCCAGTGTTTTACTGTTTTGTTTGAAGATATTAAAAGCTGAATGAAGAAATTAAGCAGTTTCTTCACCAACTTAATTAGTTTAATTTGATCTTATAGAAATATTATGGCAGAGATGTTTAATGCTTACATGCAGAAAACTGACAACTCATGAGTCACAACTCACAACTCATGTGCAACAAATAATAAATGGTGTTTGGTTAATTTTCCTTCCTCTTTTTTGTATGTTTAATGTGTCTAGGCAAGTCTTATATATTTTTTTCTTCACTTGTGCATATAGCGAGAAAGTCTTTTTTTGATGGTCTAAAGAAACTGTCCTTAGGCAGATTTCCACTCAATTTAAATTCACCCTACACAGCTATATCAATCAACTGATTCTTGAAATTATCATAATCGCACGCACTCATCAAGCTTAATATAATTACATTCTCAAATCTGCTAAAATCAACCATTGTTCTGCTACGTGTTAATGAAGACATTTATGAGTCAGATTCTTACACCTAGTTTTGATAATATCCCTTTTTTCATAGTAGTCAGATTGTTATTTGTTACGTACTTGTTAATTAGGTGCTTGAAATGCCATGAGCTAGCCACGAGTACTATATAGGAAACAGTCTACTAGTGTTTATTTAAACAGTTTTGGGTGGGATGAGTCAACAGAAATGGCTATATTTGCTACCATATTAATGACAATTGACAACTAAAGGGGGCAAACCGCAAAATTAAGATAGTGAGAGGGCATAGGTGATAACTTTTGAATTTTCATAAACATATATATAAAAGGACTCTCATAATCTCTTGCCCAAACTCAAATTGTCTTTTGGTGGACCAAAAAGATTATGAGACCCATAAGCTTTGAAATAATTAATGCACATAAAAAGGCTAGTAGTATCTGTATTGGGAAAAAATTGAATTTAAATATTGAAGATGACATGTCATGGCACGTGGACCGGTCAAATAGTCAAAGCATGACAAACAGTTAGAAGACACGAGCAACAATAGATGCGGGAGAGAAGATACGAGCTACTATCCAGATGAAACGAGACTCGTACCTGTTCGAGCCATTTAAAGCTCGAAGATCAGAAGGAATTGAAGATATGAATCTGATAGCGTAAAAGAGTCCAAATTCAACATTAAACGCCAAATACGTTAGAGAATTTGTATTTAATAAGAATGATTGAATAACGTTTCTTTTAATGTCATTTACTGCTCGTAATTGCCTCATTAAGACAAAGATATTACACTTTCTCTTAGAATTGACTATAAAAGGAGAAAGTCACAATATTTGTAGGACATGAAATATCATTTCGATTATACTGAAATATACTCTTATTCATTGCTTTATTGTTGTTCACAAAATCTCTTATTTCTTGATTATCAGTAATCCGATTTCTCTATTAAATACTAGCTTTAACCAAATATTCAGTTTTCTGGTTAAACACACTTCACACTATTTAACAAGCTAACAAGAGCATGGAAGAACAAAATAAACTGAGAAACGGACTTGTAATGCAGCAAAAGACGTTTATCTTTCTAAATATGAACAAAATTAGAAGCCGGTACGAGGCAGCAACTATTTGCAAAGTCTGAAACTTTCATATACATGAAGATGAATACATGAAATTTTTGGTGAAGGAGGCCATTTGTGTTGTTCTCAAGATGAGGTTTGAGGCAGCTGCTATTTTGAAGATGGAGTCGTCCTTTTTTCCAGCGTTTCTTGTTATCTGTCCCCTAGCCCTCTCTCGTTGTCCTCTATAAATAGGAGTCACGTTCCTCCTTTCCCCCTCTTTTTGTGAATTGAGTTCGTGAGGATCTTTTGGTGTCGGATCGTGTGTATGTGTGTGATGTGGGTGTGAGTGTGTGAGCATGGGTACAAGACGTGAGTAGCGGAGAAAAATGGGTGATTATTTAGGTAGTTAATTAGGATTAGGAGAAATCTTTTACTCTTTTCAGATTTTTTATATATATATATATTACATAGCTAAAAATATTAGCATATTATTTTGAGACGTAAATATCTTCAAACTATATATTTGTGATTTTTTTTAAAATAGAAATAAAACTTATACTCTAAGAGTGTGAATATTTTTGTGGTAGTTTTTTTTCTAATTGAAATAAAGCCTATTAAGAGCAAGACAAAGGTTTTAAAATATTAAGATTATACCTAAAAGAAATATTTACACTAAATAGTATAGAATTTGGGTGTGGTCAAAAATTAGTTGTTCACAATGATGAGTATTATTTAAAGTTTAAACAAGTATTGCCTTTGTATTTGCTTAAGATATATCATCTTTGATTTTTAGGGATATTAAGAAGAAAAATTGGATACATTATTCTAGGGGTGTCAATGGATATTTAAAAACCGATTAAACCGATCGAACCGTATTGTATCCGAACTGATTTTTAGGTTTCTTTTAATAAAATTTTAGGTTTTTATATAAATATATAATCATACCAATAATCAGAGTAGGTTTTTTATTTTGTGAAAAAAAATAAAAAAATACCGAACCGTACGGAATAAATTTACATGTAAAAAATATATTTATATATTAAGTTTAAAAATAATAAAGCATTAATTTTTTTTTGGCATTAGAATTGTAAAAATGGTTAAAAGCCGACGGGTAATTAAACCCAAAATCCTAATTCCCAAAACTATTATGCTACTCCTATTGAAACTAAATTATTTTCAGCATATTCGCTAGAAAGACACAAGGTATTCCAGCGATTATGAGTAGCAAACTACAATGTATTGAATATGTTTCCTTTCGTATGATTTAAATTTATCTTTTCGAATATTTAATCTTCCATATACTTTATTTTTGAATCCCAACTTGGTTAAAATCTTTTCATTCGTGTGATTTATATTTTCTTTGTCTTTTGCTTAGTTTCTTTTATGCTGTTGTAGAATAGTTGATGGATCTAATACTCTCGCCATTTTGCAAAGTCCTATAAAAGTACGTTGCTATTGCGTTCTATTTCTACTAGTGATTTTTACCTAACATTTAAAAAAAAATACCGAAAATTTACCGAACCGTACCGATGCTGAAGAGAAACCGACATGATTGAGACGGTTTCGAAAAGTCCAATTTTAATTATACATAATAAAATAACCGAAAAATTGATATGGTACTAATTTTATAAAATGACCGACCATACCGTTGACACCCCTGCATTATTCACAATAATCGCTTTATAATATTAAAGATCATACTTCATAACAGTATGGAAAAGAATTAACATTAGAAATCAGGTTTGGGAAACTAAAAAGAAACCACAAAACAATGACAGCTGTGGGATTTGAACCCACGCCCTTTCGGACCAGAGCCTAAATCTGGCGCCTTAGACCACTCGGCCAAACTGTCTTGAGATGGCAAAAGCTTGTCAATTTTAGTTTATAACCAATCGTATGTAACTTAATTTTGGATTAGTTCTTATAGCTATCAAATATGTGAGTGTGTCTCTCTATATATATATGCACATATTTTTGCTAAAAATGCTTCTTCGCTTGCTTGCAGCGTCTCAATTTGAGCTTTCAAAATGAAATGGTATGACTACTTTTTTTTTTTACCTTTCTCTTATAATGTTAGTCAAATTCAAATTGATAAGAAACTCTTTGTTCAGTTTCATTTGAGGATTCACTTGGATGAAAATGTTTAGATTTGAGATGAAATTTCAAATGACATACTTTCAAGTATACCTGTGAATCGGGCCGGGCTGACCCGTTTTTAGCCCGCTTCAACCTGGGTCAGCCGGTTCAGCCCGCTACTGTAGCATATAGGGCGGGCTGGGACGGGTTGGACGGGGAACGGGTTTTAGACGAACACATTTTGGATACCGGTCCCGTTAATGGGTTAAATTTTTATTTTTTTAAAATTTGTGTACCGTTGCTAACAAAATTTAATTAAAAAATTTTAGCACAGCCCGGTCCGGTCCGTTTAAGCTCGAACCCGTACGGGCCCAATAAAACCCGCAAAAACACAACCCGCTAACAGCCCGCTAATTCAGCCCGGAACGATAACCGTACGGGCTGATATTTTTTGTGTACAGCCCGTCCCAGCCCGCCCGTTAAACACCTATACTTTCAAGTGCCATTTGGAGTGAAATATGTATTCTTATATTCAGATTTAGACCAAATATATAGAGTGGCCTAGGTCTTTTAAATTAGACACCTAAACTAATGTTGTATACTAAATATATAGTTTCCCAATTTTAAAAGAAGTCTACTTCAGACTGCATAATTCAAAACTCTTTAGTTTTGATTTCTCAAGTTCACTCTAGCAAGAGTGATATGTCAAGTCAAGACTAATGATAAAGATAGCATCACATGTCCTGTCGTGAGTGTGTTTCCTATTTATCTCATTTTGATGTTAATTGCCCATCTTGACTGATTGGTAACTACTTGGTAATCATGATTTATAAATCCCATTCTATTATTGCGATTCACGTATTCACCCATCGATATAATCGCATCAATGGTAATTTATAAATTGCATTTACTTATTGTGATTATAAAATGCATTACGATTTATAAATCGCAACTAATGATTGTGATTTATAAATCGTAATATGTATCGCATTTACCCATTGTGATTACAAATCACGCATACGGGGCTTGCGATTTATAAATCCCAAATGACGATTTACGATTTATTAACGGATTATTCGGGCGCTCTACTATTCAGGACTGAGCCTTTTTTACTTTGTTGTGTATTGTGTGAGTTGGATATGAATAAGGTTTATTGTGCTGCAGATGTATTTTTGGTTAATTACAGTGATGGAAAGAGGTAGATTACTAACCTTTTTAACCCGTACCACCTTTTACTGAAAGTTTGGATGTAAAATCAGAATTTCCATCAAATTACACATGCTAACAGGATTATTAAAATCCAATTACTGATAAAAAGATGAGAATTTATCATCTTCGTTACCAAAGGCCTGGCCTTGGAGGTTGTGAGTTCGAGTCACCCCAAGAGTAAGAGTAAGGAGGGGAGTTCTTGGAGGGAAGGATGCCGAGTGTCTATTAGAAACAACCTCTCTACCCTAGGGTAGGGGTAAGGTCCCCACTAATGGAAGATTATACCGGGTT